TTGCATGTCCGTTTGCAGCCTAAAACAGTGTGAACCCCAAACGTGCTTCGGCTTCTCCAGCACGCCCGGCACCCATCCAGAGATTCTCTCTGCTTCTTTCAGCGTGAGTGAGTGAATGAGTGAGTGAGTGAGTGAGAATCGACTAGCACATACGGTGCAGCCTGCCGCCCACGTCCCTCTCGACTTCGCAGGGGGGCTCCGAAAACGTCATTGCCCCCCTCCATCACAGAGTTCAAGTGGGGGAAATTAGCTAATGCAGCCATGTCACACTTCAACAACCCTTGGGACAATTCCTTTTTATGCTGCTCCAGCAAACAAGAAGAGTACCTGTCTGTTGATCCATCTGACTCCGCGGCCGCAGGGCGTGTGGATGCCCTCCAGGCTCTGGTTGAACAAGCAGCCAGCCAGCTACTGCTTGTAGGAAAAATAACTGCCAAAGTAACCTTGAAATGGCAACCAAACCTCAAATCCTGCAGTCGAAATGCGGTTGGATTCTTACCAACTCTGACTGATCAAGCTGCCAACCGTCACACACCGCTGGCTGCCAGGAGTTTGATGTCTGCGAGAACCTTTTGACGAACAAGCAACGAGAAAATCAATACTACAGCCGGCTGAGAAGTAGGAATCCTACCAGCTCGAACAAGGAACAATCCCCAAGTGCCACCTATAAACCCTGCAGGTAATGAGCAACAGGATGCCTTTCAAACGACACCGGTTGATCAAGTAGCCGACCTTCAAGCTCTACATGCACCAGGCGTGTGGATGCCCTTCGAGCTTGGGTGGAGCAAGCCGCAGTCTCAGCAGATGGCCCTCCAAACAGCTCATAAGCAGAAAAGCCTCGGACTGTGCAATCTGCAAATAGCTTGATGCCCATGACTATACGGGCGGATGAACAAAGGTACCCGAGTACAGCAGGCGCTCGGTTGGAGGATCAGAAGCTCCGAGGTGAGTCCAAGATGCTTCACTAACACCAGACCCGGTACCAGAGCTCGAGGCGCATGGAGCAGCCGAACGAAGCCTCTGAATCTCTCTCTCCTTGATCCGACACTCCACACGGGTTTGATTGAGCTGAAAGGTCAACGCGTTGTTGCTCGACTGACAATCCTGAAGAGCAGCATTGATTTCTTGAAAGTTCACCCGTTGGGTAGATAGCTCAACCTCCAGTCTACTCAAATCTGCCTTTGCCTCCGTAAGTTGGCGTTCAACGAACTGGCCATACTCAAACAATTCCCCACATCTGATCTCCGACAGCCTAAGTTGTTCCCGAAGCTGATCAAACGCGGACCCTGCCTCATTTAGCACGTCCCTGACTTGGCCTTGCACCTCATTGATAGAAGCCTGATGTAGCAGCTCCGCCTGAGCGGCGACTCGATTGGCAGCTTCACCAGCAGCGAATTGCTGAGCGGCGAGGACTTGCTGAGGCGTTGCTCCTATGTTGAGCATTTGATTGTGAACAACCGTCGGAACACTAGGACCATCAGTGGGAACACTGCTAGCTGGGTAAGGAGCTGAAGCTTTCCTGGGAGTCTTCGATTGGCGGGAGGAGAGCGTTCACGTTCAGCTAAGGCAGAACTACTCTCTGAACCCCCTGAGGCACAAGAGGAATCCCTCATGCCTGGAACCGCAGCAGCAGAAGCACTGGAGATGTCAGGCAAAGAGCTTGGATCAGTTGGGGTTGATTGAGATTGTCACATGATGACGGGGATGCAAGTGCAGGAAGGCAGGTCAGTGGCGCAGAGCGCCGATCAGACCACACGGACACACCCGGTCAGTGGCGCAATGCGCCGAGCAGACCAAGACACAGAAGCCCTGAAGTTTGGAAGTAACCTGAAACCAAACTGCTGAAGACAAGGTGGTGGCGCTCACACCAAGTCCAGATGCACACGGTCAACACTTCAGCCTGGAAGGTTCCGCCTCGAAAATCGAGGAAAAGGACCGACCGATCGACGGCAGCTCCCGCCGAGGCAATTGGATGTGAAACGCAGCAGCATTAGCCGATCTGTTCCATTCCTCACAGATCCCGGTGTTATCGTCTATTATCAACAACGATGGCCGGTGGAAAAGGCGTCGACAGATGTCGAGCTTTCCGAGGCGTCCTGTGCGGGATCTTGTGATTATGACTGACTAAATCAGCTTGACGTTGGCCGACAGATTGTATAAAGGTATTCCGAAGGGTGTTCAAGGCCCAATCCTCGATGCTCCTGGATCCCTCCGAAATGTGGGAGCAAATCACCACCAACGCTCCTGCCTCCTCTGCAGCCCTGTGAACACACCTGAGAAGACCCTTAACGTCCGAAAGCAGCTCCGGTGCTTCGTTCGGGTAGGGAATCTTATCCTGCTGCTTCCGCTGCCCAATGCGAGGCGCCCAATAATACCTGTCGATCACGTTGTGGAAGTCAAACACGACAACCTTGCCCTCTAGCCGCTGGCTATCTTCGACTCTGAAATTGCACCTGTTAAATGTGTCAGGTGAATACAAAAGTACGCTTCTGGGAAGGTGCACAACGGGGTCCGATGTCAAAGCCGGCGACTTCGGAGGGGTCTTCGGAGCAGCTACTGCCTGACTCGGCTTCGAAGCCGGAGGCTTCGGAGGAGTCTTCGGAGCAGCAATCTTAGGACCTGCGGCGGAATCGGAGTAGATACCTTGGGCACTGCAGCAACCTTAGGCGCAGCCGGCGTAATCTTCACCTTCGGAGTAGGGGCCAACCTCTGACCAGCAACAGGAGCTGTCACCGGAGAAGATGCTTTCGCCGAAGTTGAAGAAGACGAAGAGGACGGCCGCACAGGCGGAGCCGGCGGAGCCGGTGGCACACGTTGAAGCCTGTGGAATGCCGGCACTGCCCCAGACGGCCTGGGAATAAGCGGCTCCTCCTCGACTTCCACTGCCACTTCCACCAACTCCTCCTCCTGCTTCTTCGAATCCGACTCGAAGATAGGCTTCCAGTCTGCCCTCGTATAAAGAGAACGCTGCCCTCCATCCTGATGTCGACTAGGAACGTTGTCCAGAGAGGAATACCTATAAGGCTGAAGCTTCAGTTGATACGCTTGGTAGGCCTTGCGCTTTCTCACGGCGCTCTTGCCGGCCCTTATCCCACGCGGTCTCGGTAGCACTTCCGGACCGCGAGCCGTCAGAATGTCTGCAACCTCCTCGTGGTGACGGTGGAGGTCGATTGCCCTTCGATCACCGATAGCAGACGTGAGGAGCTCGGTGTGGCGTTTCTCAGCTCCCTGGCCACGGGGGCATGGCTGCTTTTCAATGATTATGGTGTCGCGATTGTCGGGCACAATCACGCTGCAACATGTCATGACTTGCATTCTTTCTTCGAGTGCAACCTTACCTTGGAGTGCCTCTCTGGTGACTTTCCTGGCTGTGCATGGCGCGCAGAGCTGGGTGACCGCTTGAAGAGGCTGACGGGATACGCAGGTCAAAGAGTAGGGGAAGCCAGTCATCCTGGCCCCGATTCCGATAATGGCCAGCTAGCTGTGCTCATTCAGTTGGTTCAGCTTCTCATTCAGATGGTCTCAAAGCTGTCTGGCAGTGGCGATGTGGCCAATTTGGTCGCCCAGGCCAGTAGCACAGTGAATGCACTCCAATCTCCAGGAGTCACGCCCACAGTTCCTTCATCTCAGGCGCGGCATGTCATGCTTCAGCCGTCTGAGACATCGGAGTGGCAAACCGTGAGGCGCAAGAAGAAAAGGAAGGGAGATGTTGCTCCACCTGAGCCAGCTCCCAAGGGCAAGTCCGATGGCAAAGGCGGTGGGGGAAAGTCTGCTCAGACAGTTATGTGACTAAACGCAGCTCGCACATCTCACTTTTGGCCAGATGCAATCGTGATCGTTGCAGCTTGTTAGTGAAAGCAAAAAGCGGCATGTATGCAAAAGCTGAGTGTAGGTTACGATGAACACTCAGCGCATCGGGAGGTGAAGATCGTGATCAAAGAACTGATCCGATGCAAAACCGCCGTGGTGGCGGGGCGGTGGCGGACCACCTTGAAATCTCGAGAGAAAGACGGCCACATATTTGTGCGGCTGCTTCGTCAATCCCCTGCACAGCAGACCTTATGACTAAACGCAGCTCGCACATCTCACTTTTGGCCAGATGCAATCGTGATCGTTGCAGCTTGTTAGTGAAAGCAAAAAGCGGCATGTATGCAAAAGCTGAGTGTAGGTTACGATGAACACTCAGCGCATCGGGAGGTGAAGATCGTGATCAAAGAACTGATCCGATGCAAAACCGCCGCTCCCATACCCCCGAAGGGCTATGGCCACTTCATTTGCTACAGCCGCAGCGAACGCCAGCGGATAGTGCTGATCCTTGAAAGAAGAGAGCCCAGGCGCTGCATGTCCTTGCAGGCAAATGTGTGGATGCTTGGAGAAACTGCAACATCCATGTTGAGGGTAACATTCAGCATGAAGCTTCGAGAAATCGATGTAATTGAAGAGGAGGGCCGTAGGCTTGCGCCAGGGTGCACCAAACTGACAGTAATCAAAAGTCACCCAGTGCGAGCGCGCTGCACGCACGAGACGCTTCATACACCCCATATCCCACAATCTACTGAAGCGGGGATTAACCATCGCATACGGGACCTGAAAACGTTCACACTCACGTAGTACCCGACATGCGACAAACACTCTGCGGTTGGCAGTGGCAACCCTCTTTCGGTCGTCGCCTTGAAGTCCTGTGACGCCCTCCGGTGAACTAGCACTGCGCAGGCATCTATCTGGACCGTGTGTGGCAGCAACGGCCTTCGAGAAGGAGGTAGCCGGCATTCCCATCCAAATAAAAAGAATGCGACCAGATCTAATCCAACACATAATCTTATGCTCAACTTTTGACCTCAAGATGTCATGTCCACGAAAAAGACCGACGTCAATAGGAAAACAAGGGACACCGCAATTGATGAGTGCGGAAGTAATCCTCGCTGTGCCTGCAAAAAACTCCAAAGCGAACCTAGGAGGCAACGGTGAAAATGTGAACACATCGTTCGTCAGACATCGTGCTATCGTGCCGGTGTTCGGCCTTTGAAAACCGCCTCCAAATGTTGGAGAGACCACCGGCAATAGGCCAGATCGCTGGGCGATAGCAGGCTCAACAACTTCTGAATTTTCCCGGTTTTCCCATATCGTCTCACTGATTGGTCGGTTTGCCAACGGCCTCTTGCCTTGACTGCATTGAAGTCGCGCTCCTTCGAGTTGAGATCCTCCGCCGCACCGCCATGACGCAGCTGATAAGGGTGGATCCCTTCTAGGCCCAGCTCCTTCCCCGCTGATGCGAAAGCTTTCCGGTAGTCCTCCGGACTGAAATCGAAAAGGAGATCGCTCCCACGCCGTCGCTGACGCGCCAGATCCTGAATCATCTCTCCTATCCAAAGACGACCTTTGCTGTTGAGTAGAATTGTATTGTCGAAGACGCCCACTTTGTCGGGGACGGAGTCCGCTATGTCCCGCACGATGACCGCGTGAAACGAGTACTGCGGACCCGCGCCTCGGACTGGAGCCACACAATCCTTCTTGGTCAGGGTGAAAGCCTCCCCCGGACGAAAGTACGTGTCGAAGCATAGCATCACCATCAACGCCATTTGCCTGAGCCGCTTGCGCAGCAGGACCATCGCAATGCCACATGCTACAAGCAGAGGCAGTGGTAGCCGACTGGATGGTGGATCCTCCTTTCTCCAGCCCTTCAGCGCCCTGCGACTCCGAGACAGATGCCCTTTCACATGCGGGCAAAAGAACTCGACTGATGCAACCGTTTTCTCCGCTTCGCTTAGCCCCTTGGCCTCGAAGAACAACAGGTCCAGATAGTCGACTAAGTAAATGTCGGTGTTCTGACTTGTGAGCTCGGCAACTCCGTGCTCCTTGCAAAAACTCTTGTACTTGTCGAAATACTTCCGGTACTGCTCCGCCACTTCTGTGGAAACACTTTTGGTCTCCAGAAATGACAGCTGCTTGGACTGCGCCAGCTTCCCCAAACTCTTTGGCCTCGGATGCCTTATCGTCACCCCCCGACGAGCAGAGGGTTTGCCAACTGATTTGCTCATTGGCACAATGCGCTCCTTGAGATTCGCCTTCCTGACCGGTTTTGTCGGTTTGGCCGCGCCCCTCGTCTGGATGCCACTGGTGACTTTCCTCCGCGCTGGTCTCAAAGCTCTGGACGATGTCGCCAGTTTGCTTGGAGGCCCCCACTTGACCTTCACAACGCGGGAGCAGGATACCACGGCTTGGTCCATCCGCAACATTGACTTCACTGGGAACCCATCGCAGGCGGAGCTGAAAGTCCCCAGCAAGACTTAATGCGCTAAGCTGTTGAGTAATGCGCAAAAGCGCGAAATTGGTAGCCCGACCTTTCGTCGCTGCAAAAGCCAGCGACATGCTATCAACGATAACCAAATGTCGCTTACGTCTGCTGTGAGTGCTTCTCGCCATGCGCCTAACTGCCAGAACAAGTGCTCGCCCTTCCTTGAGAGTAATATGTTCGCCAGTTTCACCCCAACGTCCCATGAGCACTGTATGCCAGGTATCGCGATCCATCAGCGAGTGAGGGACTTCAGGGAAAGACTCGTTTGGGGTATATTCCAACTGTTCAGGGTCATCACCTTCGACAAAAACTGTGTTGAGATCACGGAATGGGTCTAGTCCTGCGGCTCGTTGTCGAGGTTGCCACTCCTCCGGAGGCAGACGCCGAAAGCGCCAGCGCTCATTCCACCTGCCAATGCAACGCACCGTGTCACGAGGACAACCCCGCTCACAGATTCCATACCCTTCCGGAGAGGCATCGGTAGCAGTTATCGTCTCAGACCATTCTCGCCGCAGGTCCCCCACCAGCAACGGAATGACCCCAATGAAAACTCTGCACTCCTCGGCCTCTTCCCGGCTCAATCGACGGGGCGATCCACCCTTCTCGATGAAGTCGTAGAGACGCCTGAACACACACATCCCACAACGATTCAAGACACATATAACCATCGCATGGCCCAGTAATTTCTGCACCAGTTCGGGCGACACGACATTATCCGTCATGTACTCAAAAGCGAGAATGATGTTCCAAGCACGTGATGCCGAGGTACGGACCTCCCCCCGATTACCATCTATCTCGCCGCCTAAAGTTGGAAAGACAAGGGAAGCAGCTTCATGTTCATGAAGAGTGAACCCCATATCCGCAAGACGATCACAGATACCATCTTTCCCCTGATTGCAGGCCTCAGCGGATGTAGCCATGCAGTGGACATTGTCGCAATACGGCATGGAAAGTACGCTGTCACCTGATACATCGGGGGCGGGGTACCCGTCGAGGATGAGATTGCTACGGGGAATCCGCAATGCATCCAAACATGCGCCCTCATGAAGCTTTTGCACCAAATAGAAAGACCAACTGAATCCCATGGGAAGCACTGTAATGCAAGGAGAAATGCGCGGAGCTGAGACAAAGTCAGCAGCGTTCTCCCCGAACACTTCGACCGCCTCCTCCGGCGAAATGTCCGAAGCCAGGCAGAAGAACTCTTCGAGGCCCTTCGGGAGGAAGCATGCATAGAAACAATCCTGTATATCTGAACCCGACGTGAACAGGTACTGATCTTGCCCCAATTCCAACTCCGTGACCGCCGATAGCGAGCCTAGCTCAACATGAGGAGGCGTCCGGAATTGTAAGTTCACCTGGCGGCAATCAAGCACCAACCTTTGTCGCTTGACTTTGACTCCATTCACGATCTTGTCCTTCTTAGACACTGTGAAAGCGCCAACCCTCCCCCGAACGCAAGAAGAGAAACCCAAAATACCACACTGCCGAAGATGCTTCAGAAAACGCAGGTACCCCGCGCGATTGTGCAGACTCGGGTCATTGTAAGGCCGCATTGACTGGGTCAAATGACTGACCCCAGACCATGAATCAGCATCTCTGAGCATCCACTCTTCAAAGTTCACGACCATATCACGCAACGTCGTCGGCAACTGTGTACTCAGGTCAACCCCTGCTACAAGGCCCGAGGGTAAGGACAAGGCTTCCAACTTCATATCCACAACCTCTCCCACTCCCGCCTCCGGCGTAACATACCCAGAGGCAGGTGCCCGGAGCGCCGCAAGGGCTCCCTGGCGACTCGCACTCGGTGGTGGTGCTCCGAAATTCCGAATCCTCTGTACAAGCCCCTTCACCGCCTCAAACTGTGCAAGAGGAAGGTGATCCATTGAGGTCACTCGGTTGCAAGGAACACGACCTTCACCACCAAAGAAAAGAGAATTCAAAGCGGATATGGCCAAGTTCACCCGCTCCATAACGTGCAACTTGGTATGCACGCGACGAGCCACAGCACGACTGAGCCCGGGACCTGGCTTGTCTGGAAGCGCTAACAGAGGCAGAGGAAAAACATCACGTCTCCTCCCATCTGGGCCCCCTGGCTCATGAAAAATCTTGCTGCGGAAAACCATACTCCCAAAATCCCGGCAGTTGAAACCACAAAGGGTGCTCCACCCAACTGCGCCCAGCAGAACACCACGTCACTGACTTATTTCTTTCCCTCCCCCTTGGGACCGCTCTCCGGCGTCCCTTTGGGGGGCTTACCTCCTCGGCCTTTGCCCTTGGCCTCGTTGAGTTTGCGACGCTCCTTCAGGATTTGCGACTCCTGTTGCATCTTCTTGGACACGAACTCCGTCAAAGAGGGAATGACAATTCCCCCACCGGGCCTGAATGTGGTGCCCATGAAATGGTCGGCACCCTCGTAAGAGGGCGCCGCGGGGTTGTATGAGTGAGCCTCCGCCAGAAGCTGCTTTCTGCGGGCAATGAGTTCAAACGACGCCAAATTGGCGACGTTTAATCCATCATAAGTCACCGCTGCATCAAGAACGCGAGCAAGTACCTCGTTCTCGTGAATGGCACGATCTCCGTCAGGTATCTTCGACTGCGCCACCCATGATAAATGCTGCGCGTAGCAGGATTCAGCGACTGAAGCAACCGCCTTGACATACGGAAGAGCAGTCCTCGGCTCGAAAGGGAAGTCATCGAATTCGACTTCAACGAGTTCACAGACAGTCTCGCGGAAGTTGCGGAGACGCTCTCCGTTCACCCCGTACCGCACCTCAACCGTGCGTGCATCTTCAGCGACAGCCAAATCCTCTCCTTCAAGGGCCACAGATCCGCGAGCCAGCCCGATGCGTTCTTCGCAGAAACTGGCTACTTCCGCCTCTGAGAGACGGCGCACGAGACAAGGCCGCGTGAACCCTTTGTCATCTGTTACAGGCATCAGCCCCCAACCGTTGTCCTGCACAAAGCCGGCTGGAGGAGTCATGCGTTCTCCGATCTTATGGCTTGGGATGTACTCGGCCAAGACCCATACCATAGAGGCATCTGCAGCTGGATCGTTACCTCCGGGATCAACCGCACCCAACGCCGCAACTGCGGGCGCCGCCGCAGCTGCGGGCGCCGCCGCTGCTAGTCCTGCGCCTCCAGGCCCAATAGCACCTAAACCTCGACGCTGGCGCTCGGCGGCGCCTTCACGCCTACCAGCGCGCAAATGAGCCGCATATTCCCTAGCACTCATCGGCGCGAACCCATAGATGCTAGCAGCGTTGACTCCACGGGGCAGGCCGCCCGCGGCACCTCCAAGATGAAAAGCCCGTAAATCGGGGTTCGAGGCATCAAGGATCTCGGGATAGATGTCCAAGTCGGGTGTCAAAATCACGTACTCATGGGTGCTTGAATCAATCACATCCAGGATCAATCGCGAATGCACACATTGTGGAACTTCACCGTAATCAAGATACACAACATCTCCGATGTTCAATGCCATCACCCTGTAATCTGAAGAGCCCTCGTCGGATTATATACGCCCTTGCTCTTTCCTTTAAGCTGCACCGCGACCTCCCTTCCTTCTCCGTGTTTCACCACAGTGACTTTGAAAGCCCAAGCGAAGCCTGTCGCAGCAATAAGGGAGCAGATCGATAGGAGAATTACCAGCAGTGTCAATGCGCTCGGAGTGCTGGAATCGACAACTGGAACTGAATGATTGCAATGACAGTCACAATGGCACTTCGGATTCTCGACTCTGTCCGGAAGCCAACTTCTGACCGTCCAACCAACTGCCAGCCCCAGCGCCCCGCAAATCAGAGACGCCGAGTCCATGGAACTCTACAACATCACCACCTTGAAATCTCGAGAGAAAGACGGCCACATATTTGTGCGGCTGCTTCGTCAATCCCCTGCACAGCAGACCTTAGCTCCGTCGTCTGTGGTGGGAAATAAGTCTGGCAAGGGCAAAGGAGGTTCGGCCGCGGTCCCGCAAGGACCATAACCCGTCCTAGAGCTGCGCCAAGATGATTGGGTGGGCAAAGTTGTGGCGTTCACAGCCTTGGGCGACTACACCGGCGAGGGCGAGTCCATCATCGTCCCGGTCTACAGCACTGACGACGCCGAGGTCGCATACAGCTTGGCTGCAAATGGGGGATACAAGTCAACTATCTTGATTGTGCGGCCGAGCGAGGAAGGCACTGTTTCCTACCCTTTCTATCGGGACAAGAAGGTCGTCATCTTGCGGGCAGTCACGAAGGCTTTTCCTGTTGACTCGGTGCCCGTCCCCAAACTGAAAGCAAGCAATGCGCCTGCTAAGATCGCGGTTGCTCCTACGGTCGTTCTGCGGGCTGTTTTGGTCCAACGATTTGCTACCAAGGCTGATTGGGCGAGCGCTGAGGCCAGCTTTCGCAAGTTTTGCGGAGGAAGGGCCCCGTTGCTTAAGGATCTTTGGGGGACAGCTGTTGAGGAGAAGTTCGGCAAGTGCATTGTGGCGCTCACCCGTTTCCCACAAAGTGCTGCAGCGGGCATTCTTCAAAAGAGCGGGCAGGATGGTCTCTTTTGGGAGCCTGTTGACAAAGAGGTCGGTGGCAGCTCCTATGGTGTCACTTGGGTTGAACGCCATCCTGATGAATCCGATGATGCTTATCATTCGCGCGCCTTGCTCCTTAAGCCGGAAGCTGGCTTGGTTGCGGGAAGGAAGCAGCTTGGCACCCGAGGGAAGGTCGACCCGGCTGCGATCATCCGTTCGTGGAGGCTCGCGGGAACTCCGCGGCATTGGGATGAGGAGATTGTTCGTGACCTCGTAGCGTCGACTTCCTTGAAGCAAGTTTCTGTCTCCAGTAGGATGGTGAGGAAGGGCAGGGCCACTTGGTTTCTGCGCGCTGCTGGAGTTGGTGAGTTCTTCACGGTCCAGGCTGAGGAAGCTGGTGTGGTCTCTTCCTACTACCTGCTCCCCGCTCTTGCGAGCCACCGAGGCCCAAGCAACCGCACCGTCTTGAAGTCTGAGGGTGTGTTTGTCTACAAGCCTGACCGTTTTGGCACTACCAAAGCCGCTGAGGCTGGAGCCGCGGAGGTTAGCAGCGAGGGCAAGGAACTCCCCGCTGCTAAGAGGAGGACTGTTGAGCAGAGAGCGGTCCCACCTGGTGTCCAACTCGTCGAAGTCCCACGGGACGGAAACTGTGTCGCGACCGCGCTAGGCCAGGGAATCGGCTACAACAAGAATGGCAAGCCTACGAGTGCAAGACAGATTCGTGCCGAGCTCATTGCCTATATGCGGCGTAAGCAGAGCGTCTTTGAGGGCTTTTGGGATGGACGTGACTCTAACGACAAGCTTGGAGTCCATACTTCGTTCACCGATTATGTCGATGAGGTGGAAAAAGAAAGCAGGTACCTGAGCCAACTGGAGATTGAGGTTGCAACTCGCCTCTTTAATCTCACGGTGTATGTCATCCCCACCGATCCTGCTGTTCCTCCTCTTCGTTTTGGCAGTGGCTCTTATCCGATTGCTCTGATGTACGATGGTGTGCATTATGACTACTTGCAGCCGCGCGACAAGGAAGCTGGCTATCCCGCGGCGATCACTACGATTGAGGAGATTGGCACTGCTAAGGGCGGACGTGGAGGCGGAGGACGCAATGACTCTGATGATGAGGCCCTCACTTTGTATACTGAGGCCACTGGGGGGGGCCTTAAACCAAGGCCTAAGCACCAGCATGCGTCTGTCGATGACAAGGGGAGCGACAAGCTCACTCTCTACACTTCTGTCTCTGAGGGCAAGCTGGTTGTCGCTCGACGCGGCGAGCAGCCTCACTCCCCTCCTGACGGCGTGGGGCGAGGCGGCACCGCGGCAACTGGGGGTCCCATGTTGGAGCCAACAGTGGTGACTGGGGGCGGTGAAGCTTCACGGACTTCGCGTTCCGTTTTGGACATGTTGCGCCAGCCGCAGGCTGCTGGCGGCTCTTCTGTTGGTGGTGGTGGTCAGTCTGCCACTGTTGGTCAGGATGACGAGGTTGCGAGCCAGGATTTGGAGAATGCTGAGCCGCCGCCTCCTGCAGCTTTGCGTAAAAGGGCTAGGCGCACTTTGTGGAAATGCAAATTTTGCGACTTTGCGACCAAGCCTGGATTGACGGTTACTGGCATCGATGCTGCTCGCCTTAAGCATTTGCACGCTTGGCATAAGGACCGGAAGGCCCACTGGACGAGCTTCTGCAGGTGGCGCTTCAAGGCCGTCCCCGATGCTAAGGATCAGTGTGTGAATCAACAGGAGGTTTTGTGGCAGTGCAAACATTGTACGGCGGGCATTGTGGGCATCAAGCTTCATGAACGCAAACAGGCCGATGCAGTCTACCTCGCGGCCGTGAAGCATTGTCGTGAATGCCACCCTCAGGCGATCAAGGCTTGGCGGAGGGATCGCAAGCATGCCAACTTCAAGAAGGCGACGGCGATGCGCAGAGCGGCTGGCATTGCTAGCCACATTATGCGGCGAAAGACCAGTCAGTACGGCGCCCACGACGTCGTCGTCTTCCGTATCCCCTGGCTTAGGGCTTCTACAGGTGGCAAACAGCGCAAATCCTCAGTCTCGTATGTCTGCCGGACGTGCGCGGCTCAGGGCCCTTCGCCGGCCAGCATCGTGCAGCACCCTTGTGATCCTGCTCGGATGCCTGTTGGTAGAGGTCGCAAGCAGTTCGTGGATCGGCTCACCGACGCCCTTGACCATGATTACCCGGATGAGCTTAAGCAGGGCATTCGTGGTGTGCCTCAGGTGTTTTCGGAGGTGGCGGAGCGGCTTAAGAAGGCACGTGCAGCGACTGATCAGGCCGAAGGCGTGGCAGAGCACCACATCCAGGCGATTGCGTGGCCGAAGCTTACGGCTGAGACCACGTCCTTTGCTGTGCGCTTTGTGTGTGAGCGGTGCCACTACCATGCTGCTCGCAGGTCCCACTTCAAAGGCATCACATGCAGCGCCGTTGGCAAGCGTCGGCAAACGGCAGAAAAGGAGAGGCTCATTGAGATTGCGAACATGGCGGACCCCGCGGGGTCTGCTGCACGATTGGCCTTGCGCTATCTTGGCCATGAGCTGCCAGTGAAGGGTGGGCCGAGGGCTTCGCCATGACGGTGGAGCACTTCATGCGAGTGGGTACTT